GGCACGAGATGACCGCGCAAGTGAGCGTCGCCCATGAGGTAGCCCGAGGGTGGAGCCCAGCGCGCGCCCAAGGCCAAAGGGCAACCTCGTCGCACAGGTCGCCGTCGACCGACACCGCGCGCCGCGCGCGCACGAGCCCGAAGGCAAAAACTGACCGGCGCGAGAGGGCCGCGCAAGTGAGCGCCGCCCACCAGGTATCCCGAGGGTGGAGCGGCGGGAGGCTATGGCACCTGCCAGAGGGGCGCGACGCCTTGGGCGCAGCGGGCCGCTGGCAGGGGCGGGGCCCGCCCGACTGGGCAACCGACGCGAACCCTTGCGTTATAACTGGCGGCCGTCGCGTGCTGGGGCGGGCGGGGGCGAAGCCCGGGGGGGCTGGCGCCGCGCCGGCCGGGCCAACCCAGAAGGTACGTTCATGAGGGGCAGTCGATCGCTGCAAGCACTCGAAAAGCCTCGGCAGAGGAATGCCCGCGGCAAGCAGCCGATCGCTACAGGCACTCGAAAGCCTCGGGGGGGGGGGAATGCCCGCGGTAAGCAGCCGATCGCCGCAAGCACTTGGGAAACCTCGGCAGAGGAATGCCCGCGGCAAGCAAGAAACGCGATCGATCCGGCGGGAGGGGGCGCAAGAAGACGGGGTCACGGGCTCCGGTCGCAATGCTTCCTCGCGCGCGGCTCTCGATCGTAGCGACTGCAAGTTCTCTGGAAGCCTCGGCAGAAGAATGCCCGAGGTGGACAGGCAGTTCATCGCTGCGCATGCTTTGAAATTTGAAGATCTCGGCAGAGGCGCACCCAGGGCGACGCCGCCACCGCGGGCACGCAGCGAAAGAGGGGTGGAGGCGACGGGGGGCCCTGCCTGCTGAGGAGGAGTGTTCGACGACGTCGCTGCCGAACAACTCGGCAGCTGTAGCGGCAGGAGCGGCAGCCTGGGTCGCAGTTCGCCGGATGGCCGCTGTCGCTGCACCCACCCATCGGCCCCCGCCGCGCCCCCGCCGAAGCGCGCCGCCGCGCCCCCGCCGCGCCCCCGCCCGGCCCCCGCCGCGCCCCCGCTGCGCTGAGGCGGCGGCCGGAGCGGGGGCCGCGAGGGGGGCGCGGCGCCCGCCGAGTGGCGCCCGGACGCCTGCCGACGGATGCAGCCGGCGAGCCGCCTCTGCGCGGCTGCGCCTGGCGCTGCCCCGCGCCGCGGCCCCCAGAGAGCTCGTCGCTCAGGGCGCCGCCAACGTCGAGTGATTCGCGCGCGGCCCCGCCGCCGGCAGCGGGGCCAGTCGAGGAGGCGGGCGGGGGGGTGGTCGCCCCCTCCCGCTCGTCTGGCGCCCCGCGCTTCCGTTCCAACGCCTGCTCCGCCCCCAGGTCGTCGACGTCGGCGTCGACATTGGCGTCGGCGTCGTCGTCGGCGTCGGCGGTCGCCTGCCGCCTGTCCGACCCCGCCAGGCCGTCAACGCCGCCGAACACCGGGTTCCATCCCGCGGGCGGCGATGGGGCTGGGGGATCGCGGGTTCTCGGGGCCAGGCCCGGTGTCCAGCCGCTTCCGGGCAGACGCACCAGCGTCGCTCTCTGGCCGCCTCGGCGCTGGGATTCGCGCCGTCGCAAAGGGGAGGCGGCGTCTCGAGGCAACTCGAGGGGGCGCGAGAAGACGGGGTCGAGGGCCCCGGTCGCGCTGCTTCCTGGGGCGCTGCTCTCGACCGTTCCGTCTGGATGGCCGCGACCTCCCCGTCGTCTCCTGTCTGCGACGGAGGATCCGCCGCTTCCCCAGGACGGTCTGTCCCCGGGTTGTCGGCGTCGGCGTCGGCGTCGCGGGCGTCGCGGTTGTCGTCGTCGTCGGCGTTCGCCCCCAGGTCGTCGGCGTCGGCGTCGGCGTCGTCGGGGTCGTCGGCGTCGGCGTCGGCGCCGGCGCCGGCGTCGGCGTTGGCGTCGCCGTCGGCGTCGTCGGCAGCCGCGCCTTCGGGCCCCTGCCAAGCCTGTAGAGGGTCAAGAGGGGGCAATGGGAGTGATGCCGCTTTCCGATGCTTCCCCTGGTGCCTCGCGTGAGAGGGGATGAGCTTCGTCTCTCTCATGATCTACCCTTGACGTGCGACTGATCGCCGCAAGCGCGTTGCCACGATTTGCAGCGCCTCTTGTCTCTTCCCCGGGTGAGCGACTGATCGCCGCAAGCACAGATGGAAGAGGGGCCTCGGGCTCCTCCGCAGGGGGCGGCGGCGGGAAGACCGGAAGGTCGTTGCGATCGGATCGATCTGGCTCGAGGGGGCGCAGGAAGACGGGGTCAATGGTTCTGGTCACAATGCTCCCTGGGGCGCGGCTCTCGATCGTTACATCTGAAGCACGGCCTCCGTCGTCTCTACCAGGTGCCACCCCAGGGTCGCGACAGGGCAGAGCTGGTGCACCGTTCGTATCGTCGCCTTCCCCAGGAGTGCGACTGACCGTCGCAAGTGCACTGACTTGGTGCGACGCGTTCCCAGGCCCCTCCCTAGGCGGGCGTCGGACGGCCGCGATGGCAGAGGAGCGGGGG